AGAGGTTCTCTCCTGCTTCAGACTAGACCAAATTGCTAGTGTCTAGGTACATATATATATATGCTAGTGTCTAGGTACATGTATATGATCCCAGTGTAATAATTAGAATGAAAGGATTACCTCATTGCTAAATGGCTTTCCCAAGGAAGAAAAATGGCTGGGAGGTTGGAGAAAAGTTTGGACAATTACCGGTAGTGTGAATATCTCAGATAAAGGAAAACTTCTTCTGGGGAAAAGCCCTTTGTCTATGTATGCACAACCACCTTCTCAGGTCAGAATCCCATCGTTGTCTTCCAAAGAAAAGGGGATTATGTTGCTGTCTTGGGTGATCTCATTGTAGTGGGTTCCTGCGCTTGCTTCCTCCCTTGCTAGAACCAACCAGATTTCCAAATATGATTTGTCCAAGTCTCCACAGTGGGGATATCTCTCAGGCTACACACTTCAGTATCCCTTTTAATATTAAATTGATAAGAAATATGAGAGGGGTGATTGGGAGCTTGACCCTGGGGTAACAGTTGTGTATTTTTCTTCAGGTGACCTTTGAAGATGTGGCTGTGAATTTCACAGAGGAGGAGTGGGCTCTGCTGGATCCAGGCCAAAGGGCCTTCCATAGAGATGTTATGGAAGAGAGTTTGAGGATCATGTCCTCACTGGGTAAGGCTCCCTTTCCCTTGTGGTTGATCAAATCAGTTTACAAGACCTAAACCATCCGTTTTAGTGCTCTTCTTCCTATATTAAAGCAAGCTGGATGGTCAATGTGAGGATTGGAGGTGCTGCTATGCATAGATTTTGGCCTTGCTTGAGGAATTGTTGCCTCCCCAGGCTGCTTTGCCTTAGCCAAAAGCTGCTGTGGCTCCAGTCTCCATTCAAAAGAGGGGGAAATGATATAGTTAAAGGGGAAGAACAAAAGGAGATGCCACCTCACAACATTTCAAGAAGATGAGGCAAGGACTTAGTGAAGATGGTCTTTCAGAAGAGCCAATAGAGACTGGAGTCACATCTTTCTCTTCAGAAGTTTGCTCAGCTTGATACCAATAGATGTCAGCTTACAAATTGTGTTATCTCTTTGACTTCAGTCTCTGTTTCTGTCTTGGACTCTGAACAATTGTGTTTCTTCTTTTCAGGTGGCGATGAGCAAGTGAGTAAGAATGAGGGGAAACCTAGCAGGGCACTGCTGCCGAGTGCCAAATATAAGCCAAAGAAAGAGAATGAAAGAAAAACGGACACAAAAGACAACAGAAAGAACACACACCATGCTTCTCAAGATGGTGACATCTCTGGAATTTCAGCCCAGGGAATAATAGGGAAAGGACAAGAAAGTAAATGTCTATGCGTCCTGTGTGGGAAAAACTTTAGGTGTAAAGCAAGCCTTATTCTTCATAGAAGAATTCACACAGAGGAGAATTCTTTCAAAGCTCTTAAGTGCGGAAGGACCTCCAGTGTAAGGAAATGCCATGAAAGAATTCACACAAGAGAGAAAGCATTTAACTGCCTGAGGTGTGGAAAGAGTTTCAGGTGGAGGTCACACTTTGCGTCCCATCAAAGAACCCACACAGGAGAGAAACCCTTTAACTGT